CAAAACAAAAAGGAAAAAAATCCCCCCCCCCCCCAAGAAAAGAATGAATGATTTTGAAATAAAAATTCCCCTAGATAGACGCATAGCCTTACCTTCATTAGTTTGGAAATCAAGAGAATAGTTGGGAAGGACTCTTCACTGAGCTCTGCAGCTGTAAGGAATTCAGACAATGATATGGAAAAAGTCACTGTCTCAATATTTCATTTCTTAGGAGAAACTGTAATTTTATTTTATTGCTAAATATAGGAATCTGATGACAGGAAGGACGGTTCTGATTAGAAACTCCTCTATAGACACCCTGTGTAATTTTGGATAGGTCACTTGGGAGCAGGTCCACAAATGGCATAAACTGTCATAGCTTCACTGCTGTCAAATGATCCTTACTTTCTATGTGTTACAACTTCCCGCTTTGTAAAATGGGGTAAAAAATGCTTCCTCGGGGTCTGGGAAGGGTACACACATTAAAGATTGTGCATAGAAAGGTTTTAGCATAGCATAATGGAGGGGGACCCACCCATCCCCCCACAGAAAGATAGCTAGAATACTGAACATACATATAATACTCCAGAAACATTGCTTGGTTCTAAAGAATATTAAATGAAAAGGCAGCCTTGTTTGTGCAGCTGGAGATAAGGAAATCGCATTCTCTAAAATATATTGGTGTTCCAGATCCACAGGAGGGGAAGTTCTTTTAAAGGATTTCAGGTGTTTCAATAAGCTCAGAGCCTAGAAGAAAAGTTACACAACTATCTCATTTTTCTGAAGTGAACAATACAGCCTCAACATTTACCCACAAATTTTGGGTATACATAAGAACAGCCATACTGGGTCAGACCAAAAGTCCATCTAGTCCAGTAACCTGCCAATACCAGATGCCCTAGAGGGAGGCATCTCAACAGGTAATCCTTAAGTGATCCCTCCCCTGTTACCCACCTCCAGAGAAACAGAGACTAAGGATACCATTCCTACCCATCCAGGCTAATAGCCATTGATGAATCTAACCTCCATGAATCTATTTAACTCTTTTTTGAACCCTGTTAAAGTTCTAGCCTTCACTGTATACTCTGGCAAGGAGTTCCACAGATTAACTGTGCATTGAGTAAAGAAAAACTTCCTTTTGTTTGTTTTAACCCTGCTGCACATTAATTTCATTTGGTGATCCCTAGTTCTAATATTTTGGGAATAAGTAAATAACATTTCCTTATTCACTTTTTCCATATCAGTCATGATTTTATAGACCTATATCATAACCCCCCCCTTAGTCTCCTCTTTTCAAAGTTGAAAATTTCAAGTCTTTTTAATCTCTCTTCATATGAGACCCGTTCCAAACCCCTAATCACTTTGTTGCCCTTTTCTGAACCTTTTCCAATGCCAATATATCTTTCTTGAGATGAAGCGACCACATCTGTATGCAGTATTCAAGATGTGGGCGTACCATGGTTTTATATAGAGACAATATGATATTTTGTCTCTTATTCTCTCTCTTTTTTAATGATACCCAACATTCTATTTACTTTTTTGACTGCTGCTGAACACTGAGTGGGTGTTTTCAGAGAACTAACCACAATGACTCCAAGATCTCTCTCGAGTAGTTGCAGCCAAATTAGTCCCCATCATATTGTATATATAGTTGGGATTATTTTTTCCCCCAATGTGCATTACTTTACATTTATCAACATGAAATTTCATTTGCCATTTTGTCGCATACCCCTTTCTTCTTTGTGAGCCTTTGAGAAAAAGCTACACTTCACTATTTAGTTCAATCCATTTTGCCTCTCTACAAACATGTAACTACAAATGATGCCAACAGAGTTAGGCTTCTATAATCTGTGTTTTAATTTGTTTAAAACCATACAAATAAACAAAATTTGAGCTAGAAGCAGTAAACAAAGTAACAGTAGCTTATTTTTAATTGTACCTGGTTAATGGGGATATTTGTGACTTTTTCATCAGCTTTTTGTATCACACTCAGTATGTTTTCTATAGTTTCATAATCATATGGATCAAGCTGTTCAAGGAAACAAAACAAGAACTGATACAAATTCAGTCTTCATTTTTTTCAAAATATTGTTTTCAATTAGACAGGCATAATGAAGACCTAGAGGGATTCCCCTCTTATTTCCTTCTGGTATTCATTACTTCCGTTCTAGAAAATTAGATATAGAATCATAGAAACAAAAGGGACCCCAAGAGGTCATCAAGTCCAGTCCCTGCCCTCACGGCAGGACCAAGCACTGTCTCTAGACCATCCCTGATAGATGTCTATCTAACCTGCTCTTAAATATCTCCAGTGATGGAGATTCTACAACGTCCTTAGGCTATTAATTCTAGTGTTTAACCACCCTGACAATTAGGACGTTTTTTCTAATGTCGAACCTAAACCTCCCTTGCTGCAATTTAATCCCATTGCTTCTTGTCCTATCCTTACAGAACAAGGAGATCATTACTTGTACTATAACCTCAAAACCTTAAAGTAGTCATGGCATTAAAGAGCAGTCAAATTAGGTCAGCAATGAACAAATAGAAAGAAGAGAGAAAAAGCCCCCAGGATATACTCAAGTAGACATATTTTAATTGTAAGTTTGAGGAATTTCTTGGTGTTTTTGTTGGTATTTTCAATTAATTGAGGCTAAGATGGCGGGGGGAGACAGAGAAAACACTGACCAACACATTATCACTTGTAGTATTTTCTTAAGGAAGTACAGGCAGTCCCCGGGTTACGTACAAGATAGGGACTGTAGGTTTGTTCTTAAGTTGAATCTGTATGTAAGTCGGAACTGGCGTCCAGATTCAGCCGCTGCTGAAACTGATCAGTTTCAACAGCGGCTGAATAAGCAGAGCCAAGCCGCGGAGCGCGTGGGCAGCGGATAACCCTGTCCGCTGCCCGCGGG